TTCTCTGTGAAGCTTTGGCTGTCCTGGGCTCACTTTGTAGATCAGGCTGGCCTCAAACTCACAGAGATTCACCTGCCTCTGCCTCCCTGAGTGCTGGGATTACAGGTGTGCGCCACCATGCCCAGCTCCCTCTTGAACACTTTTAAAAAATATCTCACTATGGATGGTTGGGAGCCACCATGTGGTCGCTGGGAACTGAACTCAGGACCTTTGGAAGAACGGCCAGTGCTCTCAACCTCTGAGCCATCTCTCCAGCCCCCCTCTGGAACTCTCATCCTGATGAAAATACCTGTATTAGCCAGCAGTTATTTTGTCTAGCAGTAACAGCAGCAGCAACAACAACAAAAACCTTTCCAATCTGACATCTTAACACAGAGGTCTTTCTTTCAGTTACACATGAGCAGGAAGCTTGGGTCCACAGGGCTTCTCAGAGCAGCAGGCGGCAGGTGTCCTGACATCTCTCCACAGCTGCCATGTCTGGGAATAGTGGACTTGGAGAGGGGCATGGGAGGAGATGAGGGACGGAGGGTGGGATTGGGAGGGAGGGGTCTACAGCTGGGATAAAAATGAATAAACTGTAATTAACACAAAAAAATAAAAATAAAAATAAAAACCCGGGCTGCTTTGCCCTGCCAGGAAGTAACATTATTCATTCTAGCTATAACCCCTTGCCTAGAAGTCATAGAGGTGCCCCGATGTCAAGCAGAAAGGAAGCATGATGAGCACAGAGCCACTCAGAAAGTATGAACGTCTCTGCCACAGTCCTGGGCCCCCGGAAGGGGCGAGAGGCTTCCGAAGGACTCATGCACCTTTTCCTCATCCCAGCACCATGGAGCAAGCCGCTCTGGTCTGGACTCTCAGCTCAGCCTCAGGATACTTGTGTGACTGAGCAAGACATCCTATCCTCCATTTCCACACCCAAGTGGAGATTCCAGTGTCCACCTCTGCAAAATCAAGATGGACACTTTAGACACAGCGGGAAGGCACAAAATATCTAAGGCAGCATTCTTTCCCAGCAGTTCTGAGACAGCACACTATCGCAAAGACTGTGGTGACATTTCTCAAAGACATCGTGGCCTACATTGTTGAAAGTTACCTTTGCTTATAAATTCTCTGTAACTCATCCAAAACAGGAAGACACCATTCTTGGGATCGGAGGTGTGGTCCCCTTGCGTAACTTTTTTTCTTTCTGTGACACTTGTCTCCCCCACTCCCGAATGTAAGCTTTAGATCAGCCTGGGTGTGAATCTCAGTTTAGTCACGCCCTTTGGTTAGCAAGCATTCTGAGGCCCTGTGTAGTCATCTTCTTTTGTGTTGATATTGAATCAGAGCTTCTTAACTTTGGGACAATCAAAACTGTTGTCTGATTAAAAAATAGTTCAGATCAAGTTGCCAGCACTGTATCGTGTAACTGTTGTCCTTGACACATTCTAGTGAGCATTCCTGCATTTGGTAGGAGAGCTTTGCCACAGAACTCTCAACTGAGGCGAAGAAAGTTCAAGTCAACTCTAGGTTAGGACATATGTCAGGAAATGGCCTTTGTCGGCTCGAGAACACTCCTCTACTCCTAGGCAGTAAGGACCAAAGCAAACATATCAACAACAAAAGGAGAGTTAGACATACAAACACCACTTTCTGATTTCTCCTAAAGAATCGCTTCTGAAGACCACTTTTGTCTCCAGGGGTCAAAATTAGCTTCTTACAAACAGAGAGCTGAGGATGGTAACGATCCTTATCACCCTTACTGGTTTGTAGCTAGCTTGCTTTATTCATCCATCTGCTTGGCTCACGTAAGAATGTAAGTGCCCACGGCACAGGCACACAAAGCCATCATAATGGGAGTGACTGAAGGATAAAGCTGCTAGGGAAGGAAGCCATCTTCAATGCTTCAGCCAAACAGCAATGAGTATACTGGCTGTTTTTGCTACTCCTTTTATTTTTATTTTTTAATTCTTTGAGAATCTCAAACAGTATATTTTCATCATGTTTCCCCATCCTCCAACACTCTTCTTTAGGGTTTTGGTAGTTGTTATTTGACACAAGGTCTCATGTAGCCCAGGTTTACTTACTAAGTAGCTGGTGTTGACCTTGAACTCCTAACCCCCCTGCCTTCACCTCCCAAGGGCTGGATTACAGGCATGTGCTACCACACCTGGCTTATATTGTTAACCTCTAAAAGATTGCAGTTTAAGTAAAGTACCACTTTCTTTGCTTTTAGGTGGAACTGTATCGACTAGGTTATTGAATTATTCTAAAGCAAATTCAGACTAGCAAGTAAATGTTACCGATAAATGTTTCTAAAATTAAGAGGATAGATTACTAAAATAAGTAGGATTTGCTTGATAGATCGATTATGACAAAAACATGGCGGGGTAAAGGGTATAGGTTAGTCGTAGAATACTTGCTCTGGGGAGGAAGAAAAAAAGAACAAAAGGAGGGTGGGAAGCTGGAGAGATGGCTTGGCAGTTAAAGGCACAAACTGCTCCTGCAGATGTAGATGACCGTAGGTTCCAGGACCCAGGTCAAGCGGCTCAGAACCATCTGTAACTCCAATTCCAGGGGCTCGGATGCCCTCTTCCGTTCTCCTCGGGCATTGCATGCTGTACATGTACATAGCAGCACACAGACGCACACATAATCACACATAACTGATACACAGGTAATCAAAAATTTTAAAAATCTTTAAAAAGAGAATGAAGTTCAAAAAGAAAAATAAAAGGTGTCCTCATTAATGGAAAGACTGGGACTTGATTTCAAGTCAAAACGTGGAGTCCAAGTGTTCGGATTTCGGTCACCTCTAAGTAACTAGGGAAAACACTGGGCTCCGCAGTCTGCTTCTGAGGCCTGGAATCCAATGTCCTAAGCAGCTCACATTGCTCTTAACAGGAAAGCTGGTACAATACTGACTCCGTTTTCCCTGAACCAAAAGGCAAAACAACACACAGTGTCACTTTATGATATTGCTGTGTTGTCCACGGCCTTGTGCCAATGTACAAGGCCACTGTGTTATACACGGGTGAAGGAACTCTCTGCCGATGACCTGCAATTCTCAAGCATTGTTCCACGCTCTAGAACACATTGTGATTCATAATTTGGCTAGGTGGGGCAAAGGAATTACCTCTTCAGTCCTTGTCAGCTCTTTCCCACATTTACTGGCATGTGGGAACCAGAATTGTCAAGATAACATGAACGCTTCAATGCTCCCCTAATCCAGCCTCCATGTTTTCCAAACTCACAGGGGAGGGGAAAGGACTCCCCAAGGCATGAAGCCAAGAACAGAACCAGGCTTCCAGATTCCACCTCCATTTCCATATGCACATCTTCACTTCCTTTTCCTTTTAAAACAAACTACCCCAACCTGTCATTGCCTGAGTTCTGCTTTGCTTTATAGGGTCTAGGCTTCTCCCTAATCATCTAAGCACGCATCCAGAATCCTGCCGCTTTATTCTTCAGCATCTTACCAGGCTTCCAGATTCTATTTGGAGAAATCCTGCTTGAAGCCAGATCATCTTTCAACTCCCCCCTTCTCCTCCTCCCCCTCCACTTTCTAGCCTATTTATTATGCTAAACACATTCTGAAAAGGGTAGAGGCTAAGTCTCTGGTGTACGATGCAAAGGGTAATAGATTTAACTCCAAGTACTTCAAAACACCAAGAAACAAAACAAAAGGGAAATTTCAAGTTAGAAGTGGGTTTTTATGGAGATGTTAAAGATGTCTTGCCCAGCCTGCCCCAGTTGTACGGGAAAGAGAAGCATAAATTCTTAAGACGGGAAAAATCAGGAAGGGAAAAAATGGAAGCGGAGGAGTCAGCGATGGACGATAAGTGAGCTGCGATTTAAGGCTGATCTCTATGGGGTGAGTGCATGCTGACTCATAAGGAGATCACTCCAGGAAAAGAGGCGAAGGGTACTGGTGAGAGGCGCCATCGAGCCACCCAGCCCTACTCCCTGCCCTTTGCACATTCCACAGCACACATCAGTTTTATGACAGTGTCAGCTGTGTTGAGATAAGAAAAACAAGGACAGATGCTAAAATTTTCACGACACATTCTGAGATTAGACCCTTCCTTCTAGTCCCGAGACGCTAATGAGGCAATTCTTGACAGCGGGAGGTAATTTATGTTGTTATGAGCTCCCTGGCAACTTAGGAACGCCATCATTCTATGTCAGTCTCTGCTTTGCTTTTCAGCTATTGCACCCATTTAGAAAACCCAAATGTCAGTTAATCGCCTATGCAAAAAAATATAAGTTTAATGGTACGCAGTTACCAATCTATTAGGGATAAATTGTAATTAACATATACTTCAGGAGAGGGCTTTCCAAAATCTTTTTATTCTGAACCCTCGATCATAAAATAGTTCCACGAGTAGATCAAATTAGCCATAACACCTACTTTTCAGTAATTAAAAATTGCTTCTCTATAACCTCTGACAATCTGACATGAGTGAATTCTAAAATGGCAATAAATACAGACAACGCTATGCAGATCAAGATGGTCCTGATGCAAACCTCTTCACGGGTTAGGTGGCGGCTCAGCCTTCTCATCTGAAATGAATCAAGAAATCAATTTTAACAGTGATCGTAGTAATAAGGAAAAAAGCCAAAACAAACTCTATCCTCTGTGGCAGACGCCTTTGTGTGTTGTGCCGGCTCCACAGCCAGGGGACACAAGGCCCAGCGCCCTAGCCTTGCTGTGTGAAGATAGTGAAACAGTGGCTCCTACCAGAACAAGCTCCCTCAGAGGCTTGTGTGGCAATGCAGTTGTGCAAGCCTCCGCCAAACCTGCTTAGAGAATAGGCAGAAAGCCCCAAGGTGTTCCTTGCTCTGAGCAACCTTCCCAGCTCTTCCTCTAAGTGGAGGCAGGTTTTTTCCGCTCTCTGTTTTCCTCTGAACCCCTTCACCTTCCAGCGCCTCTCATCTCTGGAAGAGAAGGCCTGGAACAGGCATTCCTCTGTGGTCCCTCACTCCTACCCCTGACCCCTACCCCCCCACCAGAGCACTTACAGAGCTGTTTCTGTGCTCCGGGCATTCTCTTTCACACAGAGCTGAAAGGCAAGCACAAAGTGCATGAGTTTGCCTTCTTTCCCAAGGCCAGGCGTAAACATTTTGAGTGCATGGCAGTGAATGCTATGGACTGCGGTGCAGTCATCTCTGTGTGGGCTCAAGGTCTCTTTTCCTTGACCACACGGATAGATTTTATGGGACTCTGAGAAAATACAAGTCTTAATCAGAATGTTTCCAGGGTTTACATTAGATCACACTCACCTCTAACCTCTTGTGCTGTGTGTGTGTGTGTGTGTGTGTGTGTGTGTACATGGTAGAGGAGTGTCGAGCCTTAGTACATCTGTGGGGGACAGAAGTCAACTTGCAGGTGTCCATCCTTTTCCTCATATAGGCTCCAGGAATTGAACTCAAGTCATCAGGCTTGGTCACAAGAGCCCTTACCGACTGAACAATCCTTTCTGTCTAGTTTGTCCTTTTTTCTTTCTCGTCTCTCCCTTCCTCCTCTCCCCTCTCTCTTTCTCTAAATTTCCCCCTTCCTCCCTTCCCCCTTCCTTCCTCCCCACCCCCTTCCTCTCTCCGTCCACCCCTTCCTTCCTTTCTTTGGAAAAATGTTTTGGACTGGAATAGAGGGTGTGGCAAATTTCTTCTTGGGAAACACTGTTGCCAAGTCAGATCTAGTTACTGTAGTACTGGGAATGCCACTTGCTGACTGATGAGTTCAGCCTAGGGCATTCCGGCTCTCTTTAGAGGTTTTCTGCCACATGTGTCCTCTTTGGGCCGAGTGATCTGGCAGAGTCAAATGCACAGCATTAGCCTAAGCATGCACATACTCTGAAACACAGGAAACAATGATGTCAGCCGTTGGCAACTCAAACTCCAGCCCACAGTAGTGGAGCTTATGGCTGCTGTGATCAGGAGCAGAGTAAGCAGATCTCTGTTCCCAGTGTTTGTTTATTGTACCAAGGGCACCATAGCAATGACAAAAGGGAAAGTTATTGATTGAGGTTTTTGTTTTTGAAACAAGATTTGACTCTGCAGCCCAGCTTGGACTTAGACTCCAGAGCTTCCTGCTTCCAAAGCACTGGGAAGACAAGCGTGGAAAACCAGCTCCAAAGCCCACACCTGTGACACCATAGGTATCACCACTCAGGCTTTGTCCCTATGCACATCTCTTCTTTGTAAAGCTGTGCGCAGGAGAGATACCAGAGCCTTGTACATGCGAGGCATGCAGTCCAGCGCCGAGCCCCAGCCCCAGCCCCAGCCTCTCAGACGACCTTTTACCCCAGGATTCGGAATAATCAGGTACCTTCATTATCCTTTTCCTCCTAGCAAGCACTCCAAAAGCCAGTGTCAAGACAACCACGACAGAAGCAGCAATGATTGGCTCGATGGGCACGACAGGAGATTTGTCTGTTGGGAAAGTGCAAGGAAAAGTAGCTAGCTTCTAACTTCTGTGTTTCTAATGAGTCAGGAATGGTTCATACTGAACTCTGTATATGCCACCCTTTTAATTAAATCTTCAAACAACCCCGAAAGAGAAGGAATGGGGGGGTCTTTGACAGATTTGGTTACTTTTCTAAAATCACAGAATTAATAAATGGCAGAGGCAGATTTTAAACCCATTCCTTTGTGAAAAGAGTTTCTGAAACACAAGTACCTCACCCAAAATGACGACGTGTACCATTTTGTGATTTTTCTATTATATTTTTTTTCCCAATTTTTTTTTCAAGACAGGGTTTTTCTATGTAGCCCTGGCTGTCCTAGAACTTACTCTGTAGACTTGGCTGGCCTCAAACTCACAGAGATCCACCTGTCTAAATGTATGGGCCAGAACTGCCTAGTAATCTCTCTCTCTCTCTCCTTCCTTCCTTCCTTCCTTCCTTCCTTCCTTCCTTCCTTCCTTCCTTCTTCCTTTTCTTCCTTTGCTACACAGAAAGCAGAAGTAAACTGTATGCCCACCAAGCTATCATGCTGGCCCAACCAATCATCTTTTAATTGAAGTCAACGTCTTCTCAAAAGTACAGAGGTTTTTAGGAGGAATCTTGGAATGGGAAAGAGAAGGGAGGTATCCAGGAGAGCAAGAAGACAAAAGGTGGAAAGGCAAAGGCTGGTCTCGAACTCACAGAGATCTGCCCGCCTCTGCCTCCCTGAGTGCTGGGACCATAGGGGTGCACCACCATGCCCAGCTTTTGTTATGAATCTTAATGTAAATATCTGATGTGCAGGGTACCTGATACACAACCCCCAAAAGGATCTGACCCAGAGGTCTGCAAGGAAGACTCCAGTCACCAGCCTTCCCAACCTTTGTCATTTAGAGACAAAGGTTGTCTCTAAATGACAAAGACGGACAGTGCGGGGAGCTGCAGCAACCAAGGTGCCTCAGAATCGACGCCCACTCGCCTATACCCGGAAGCCCACAATATAAGTTCATTTGTGTGGAGGTATGGACGGCGTTCACAGCACACACGTGGAGGTCAGAGGACAGCTTGTGCACGCTAGTTCTCCTACCATGTGGGAACTACAGATAGAACTCGGGGTATCAGGCTTGGCAAGAAATGCCCACTGAGCTAGCTTGCCGGCCCAACCAACTATCTTTTAAACCTTTTCTTCCAATTCTTTCTCTCAGCTCCTACTCAGGATGAGTGCTGGGGTGGGATAAATGAATTAAACATGCTAAACATCCTCACATTTTTTCTGTGGGAGTACTAGGGGAGAACCCGGGGTCTGGCACAGGCCACTTGGAATGTCTGCCACTGAGCTATCCAGCTCCAACGCGCCCTTCACGTCGGCCCTCTCTCAGCTGTCTTGACCAAAAGTTGTTCTCATGAAGGTGTGGGTGGTGCCAGCTCTTCACAGAGGTTTGCCTGATGTGCCTTCCAGAAAGCCCTGGCTCTGTATTCATCAACTCTGAGACAGACCGGGGTCCTGACCTTCCTGGAGACCTCTCTACTACATCCAGGAAACATATCAGAACGGAGAGGAAGCAAAGCCCAGGTGATCAGGAGGAGAAATCACAGTGCAGTCTCAGATTGGAAGACCTTTTACCAAACTGAAAGTCATGAAGCAACACGTGACAGCTTTCCTTTCACAAACCAGGCTGACATAATCTCACTGACCTACTGGCTCACTTCCCAGTCCACGTTCCTGTTGGAGGTGACTTGGTCCCATGAAACCATTTGCACTCCTTCCCTTGATGCTCCTATCTGCAAACAACCTCAGCCCCTTCCCCCAGACCATTAGGATGAAATAATTTCTAATGTGTGGGCTAAATCGGATGCTGGCGAGAAGCTGCCTGTCATTTTTGGTGTTCCACAGCCTTTAGAAACTACCCCCACTGAGCAGTGAAGCTGGGGGCACTTGTGGGAAATTTGGCATCAGATCCTGCTGAGAGGCAGCAGCGACCTTGTGTGAAGGCAAGCAGACAGCCCAGGAAGTAACGGAGCAGAAAAGAAGGCAGAAAAGAAGCTGCTTTGGCAGAACTCCACCCAAAACAAGTTTCTGCCCACCTGAAAGGCATTTGCTGATTGCCACGCAAGCAGTGTGACAAAAAACAGAAAACAGAAAACCCTGTGGTTATAGAGCAATTATGCTCTCTTCGTAACCGAAAGGGACACTATAATCACCAAGTCTTCAAGTATGGCCTCACAGCTGGCTAGAGATGGCACCACAAGAGCCTTATCCTACCATGTTTGTGTCAAGGTTCTTGGGGAGGTTAAAAAAACAAACAAAAACCCCACAGGCTTCAGGGCAGAGTCCCTTCCATTGTTTCTGCTCTTTGGACACAGCGGATTTTTTGTTCGTTTGTTTGTTGTTTTGTATGTATTTTGTTGTTGCTGTTTTTGTTTTTGTCTTTGGAGATAGGGTTTCTCTGTGTAGCCCTGGTTGTCCTGGGCTCACTTTGTAGACCAGGCTGGCCTGGAACTCTCAGCAGTCCGCCTGCCTCTGCCTCCCAGAGTGTTGGGATTACAGGCGTGAGCCACATCACCCTGTGGGTCGTTGCATTTTAACCAGGAAGCGCCAAGGCTTACTGTCATGGCCCTGTAGGACAAATTACTGAGCAGCTTGGTAACCACAGTGACAGGCAGGCAGGCAGCTGGCACTCCCTCCCCACCCGCCACTGTATTTGTTTCCCAGGCTCTCTAGTGTGGGGAGGAAATAAGATAGCAGTCCAGACAAGTAGGTAGGAGGTGGGTTTGTTTCCTGGGAAATGGTGAGGATGGCAATGAGTAGGCCTAGTGAGTAATGTTCCAGCAGGATGCAGGAGCCTCAGCTTGTTTGGTTGCTCCCTGAGTCCCTGCCCAAGACCAGCCGTGTACAAAGGAGCGGTGTGCTTTTGTGGCATCAAGTAGTTCAGTTTCCTCTTTGTCCGAGCAAGAAATCCAAGGAGATGCATGCAGACGGTGCACATACAGACACTCAAACAAACCGTTGCTCACATAAAGCAGAAGGAAGAAATCTTTAGAAAGGAAAAGAAATCTAAGGAAAACAGCCCCAACCTCACGGTTCACCATTGTCACTGAGTGATAAGAAAAGCTTGAGTGGGTGGTTGGCCATCTTTCCCCACACCGTCTGCTCGGCAGATGACAGGATACAAGAGTTGCAGAGAGCTTTTTTTTTTTTTTAATCTAAACTGTGTGTGCGTGCGCACCTGTGTGCATGCACGCATTTCTGAATTCTCTTCTGTTACCTCTGTTACAGGCTGGGAACTCATAGCTAGTTTGTGCACACATCGGTGCTGAAAGAAATCTGTAGAAGTTCTGCCTTGGTCCTCAATCTTCGCTCAAAAGCCACTGGTCTGTATGGAGTGGGCATGAGTCTTCTAATTTTTTTTCTTTCTTTCTTCCTCCCCCTCCACCCCTCAAAATAAGGTCTCACTGTGTAGATCTGCCTGGCCGGGAACTTGCTCTATAGACCAGGCTGGCCTTGGACTATTAGAGATCAGCCCGCCTCTGCCTTTCAAGTGCTGGGATGAAAAGCGTGGGTCCACCATGCCAGGTTTAGAAAAAAAAAAAAAATTTCTTTTTTTAGAGCAAACCCTCTACCACTGAGCTATCCCAGCTCTTGCAGTAAGACCTCCTTCATACAAGGAAAGCACCCTGCCAACGGAGCTATAGCCCCACCTTCCAGATCTTTTTATTTTGTTTTAACTCTGAGACACGGGCTCACTCAGTTATCCACACAGGACTTGAACTCGAAATCTTTCTGCTCTAGCCTTCCGTATTGCTGAGATTAGAGGCTCGTGACACTAAGCCTGACTCAGATAAAATTCCTAAGGAAAAATCCCTTGGATGGGATAATTTTCCAGTGAAAATCTTAGCTAGGAATGAAAGCGGTCACCATCATTTGTTGCCCCTGAGGAGGGCGACCGAGCCTGCTCCTGACTTTTGCATCACGCTGAGCAAGCACTTAAGAGGGGTTACCTGTGACCACCAGGTGGAAGTCCATGGTCTCGGTCTTCAAAGATGAGCTAGCAATGCAGTTGTAGGTTCCATTGTCAGACTTCTTGACCTTGGCGATTGACAGCTGTAAAGACTCCCTCGTCTGTTGGATTTGGTGACGGCCCTTCTCTAAAAACAAGGTGTCGTCGTTTTTATGCCACACCATTTGCGCTTGAGGGTTGGATTTCACGTTGCAAACCAGCCTTACATTGCTGTCTTCCTCCACAGTGTGGAAGCTGTTTCCGCTTAGGAGAGGGGGAACTGTAAGATTCAAGATCAGTCAGAAACAGGCAGCAGTTAGTTGACTGTCAGCAATTCAGTACCCCAAGCCCTTCCATCTTCCTCAGGGTGTACTCACCCCTTGCTGGGGGGTGGGGTGGGTTGTATGGAATAGCATTATACACAGCTAGGAACTAGGGACATGAGAGTAAATGGCAAACATTTTATTCCTAACTCCATAGAACTTTAGAGATAGAGGGGCTGGAGAGAGACTCAGTAGTTAAGAGCACTGGCTGCTCTTCTAGAGTTCCTGAGTTCAATTCCCAGCAACCACATGTCAGCTCACTGTCTATAAGTCAGGTTACCAGGGATCTAATGCCTTCTTCTGGTTATATTGGTACTAGGCACACATATAGTACACATGCAGGTAAAACATTCCTACACATATAATAATAAAATAATTTAAGTTAAAATCTGTCTTTAAGAAAAGATATTCCTGAAGTATATGATAAGGATTGTATGAAGTATATGACTATTATACATAACATATATAATAATATCTGAGCACGGTGGTGCACGCCTTTAATCCCAGCATTTGGGAGGCAGAGGCAAAGAGAGCTCTATGAGTTTAAGACCAGCCTGGTCTACATAGCAAATTTCAGGCTAATCAGGGCAACATATTAGGACCCTGTTTCAAAAACAGTCCTTGTTTTCCGAGCAAATACAATAGCCCAATTTGCACAAGGGTCAGCTAAACCAATACAATACTAGAGTCAAGCATGGTACCTAGTTCCTCACCTATCTGCTGTGACTTTCGGACAACTACTTAACTGTTAACTTTCAGTTTCCTCATCTACACAAACAAACACACACACACTTGGAGGACACCTTTCTGTGAAGATTAGTTGCCACAATCTCTGTAAAGAAGTGGGGTTGCTCTCAGGCTAACTCCCATTAAAAACATGGCAGTGATTTGAAAAGCCTTCACACCCTCCAGCTTTGCATTTTCTTTGATCACCTTTGCCAAGGCCACATGTTTGCCCTGGCTCAGTGACCCTCTCCAAAGGTCACCACGCTTCAGGAAGCCTCTCAGCTGTGGACTCTTGCCTCTCTGGACTCTTGCCTCTTCTCATATGTCCTCCACAAGAGCAATTGTAGTCCGTGGATAGTCAGACACAGTCATCTTCACTAAGTGACTCCAACCCTCACCCTCCACCAAGACCTTCCCACCTCTAGAAGAAGAAATGACCAGGTCAGTTTCCACTTCTTATTTCTGCCCCTTGTATTTATTTTCAGAGGTCCAGGAAATTAATAAAATGGTTAAAGAATAGGCAGTAAGGAAGGAGGTAGGCCTGGAGAAGAAAGAAAAGGGGCTTGTATCATCTGCACACTGAGTAATTAGACTCTGAGTAGGCTGTGTTATTAAAAAATTACTCAGAAGAATGGCATTTTGTTGCTCTTTGGAATGAGTTCAAACTCATTCTGTATCTGTATCCAAAAAGGATGTTATGTAGTATTGAAGACACATAGGAAGCTGCTGAAATAGAGAACAGAATCTCCAAATACAACAGTTCCATTTGTCCACAAATACCATTTGATGGTAATGATTGTTTAAGCAAGTCCTCTATACAGGAATACTGGCCCTTAAGAAAATCGGTACATCTCAAATAAAGCTAAAACATTCTCTTCGATGCCCAGCATAGTCACTTCCGGGATCCCTCCTGGTTTTGTTATTGTTGCTGTCTTTGAGATAAGGTCTTGCTGTATAGTCCAGGCTGGCCTGTAAGTGACATCCTTCTGCCTCAGGCTCTATATCAGTGCTAAAGTTATAAAGCTTCGCATAACCAGGCCCTGCTGCTGATACAAATTAATGAGAAAAAGGTACAAATACCCAAATGGGAACATAGTTAAAAGGTATGGGCAGACATTTCACAGAAAAGAGTTAAAAATCCTCATTTTTCTTAGTTCAAGAAATGAATAACCTAGACACAGTGGCTGACTTTGGAAGAGTGAGACAGAACAATGACTTGGGCCCATGAAGTCTGAAGCTAGCCTGGGCAACATTGTGAGGCCGTATGTGGGAGGGTGGGCATTGGACCTCAAATGCAGCTAGCAGACAGCTGGCACTCCCAAGGGCACAGGGAAACAGGAATTCTGATGTTTCCTGTGGGAACATGAACTGGGCAGTGTGGCCAAATCAAGACTGACATTTCAATGGTCACTTAGCTCAGTGAGGACATCCACGATTGACAGGCGGGTTCTTTCCCCTCAACTCACAAGTCACATTCAGCACCACTGAAACAGACACAGTCTGATCCCTCTGCAGCTTGCAGGTGAAGCGGACTCCGTCTTCATCTTCCTTGATGGAAGACACGCATACTGAACTGGTGTTGATTTTGTTTCCACTTTTCAAATCTACTGCTTCGTTTTCCCTGTACCAGAGAAGTTCTTCATCTCTACTGTGGTTTTGAACAGCACATTCCAGAGATGCTTGGACACCAGGGCTTGTGTCCAGGATATAGTCCTCAGTTTTACCATTCACAGTTAAAACCGAACCTGAGGGTACAGGAAAAAACTATTAAGATAGGCAGGTGTCAGCCTGACCCGGTGGTGGGGCGCACCTGTCATCCCAGCACTCTGGGAGGCAGAGACAGGCAGATCTTTGTGAGTTTAAGGCCAGCCTGGTCTACAAAGTGAGTCCAGGACAGCCAAGGCTATGCAGAGAAACCCTGTCTCAAAAAACAAACAAAAAACAACCAACCATACAAATAAAAAAAAAAAAGATAGGCGGCTTCTTACCTAGCTGTCCATCAACAGAGGATTGGTTAAATAAATTATCTTACATAAACGCAGTAAAATATACTCTCAACAATTCTATCAATCTGTATGGTTTTACACGGAGATAAATAAAAAATGTTTTTTGTTTGTTTGCTTGTTCAAACAAGATCCTCCTGCATCAGCTTGCCAGATGCTAGGATTGCAGGTGTGAGAGCGTGACATAACGTATTGTTAGTTAATAAGAAAAATATTAAAAATGTTTTGCTGCACATGGAAATCACCTGGAGGTTTTTACATCCTGATGCTAGGCTCATACACAGGCCGTTTGTTTGATCGACAGGAGGACAACCAGACGTCTTTTGTCTTCCCAAGTGCTGGGTCACAGGTGTGTACCAACCCACCTGGCTCTCTCTCAGATTTTTAAAACACTTATTTATGATCTAACAAATGAGGCAAAAGACTGGAAATGTAGCTTGGAAGAATGCTCAATTAGCTTAAAGGCTCCAGGTTCCATCTGAAACACCAGGAAATAGAACAAGGGGGCTGGATCGCTGGCTCAGCAGGTAAGGAAGGATGCGTGCTCTGCAAGACTGAGGACCTGCATTTGCACCTTCAAGCTGGGCATGGCTGTGAGTACCTGGAGCCCCAGCACTGGGGAGTAGAGATGGGTGGAGCCGGAGAGCTTACTGGTCAGCTCAGCGGAAATACAACGTTTCTCTTTCAGTGTGAGACTCTGCCTCAAGGCAGTAAAGTGCAGAGAGTACAGGAAGACACCCCAAGTCCTCCCTGGCCTCAGCACGGGTGTGCACAGTGGCAGGCCCTGGCACACTTATGGTCAAGTTATAGGCTCTGTTAGCATGTATGTTGGAGGACGACCTAGCAGCAGCTGGAGCCCTAACTTTTGTCACCTGCTTCTGAATCAGGAAAACAACTGTAATTTAGGCATATATTACTATGCAAAAAAAAAAAAAAATTCTAAAAAATCAGAGCAAAACCCAAAAACCTTTGAGGCATGATGGTGCACACCTTTAATCCCAGCATCCAGGAGGCAGAGGCAGGGGCATCTCTGCGACTTTGAGGCCAGCTTGGTCTAGATTTCAAATTCTAGGACAATCAGAGCTACCTATTGAGACCCTGTCTCAAAAGAAAAGAAAAGAAAACAAACAAACTGAAAGAATAAAGCCCTAGCATAATGTAACCGTGCTTCTTGCTCCCGAGCCCTATAAAAACCTGTCACCCCAACCGAGAGGTGCGCAAGTCTTCTGAAAGGCTTTGTCGCCCCGGGTACCCGTGTATCGAAATAAACCTCTTGCGGCTTGCATCCGAAGGCTGGTTTCGCTGTTCCTTGGGAAGCGGGGTCTCCCCGTCTAGAGAGGCTCGACCGGGAGTCTTTCATTTGGAGGTTCCAACGAGATCCGAGACCCCCGCCCAGGGACCACCGACCCATCATCGGGAGGTAAGCTGGCCAGCAGAGTGTCTCTTGTCTTCGTTCCGTCACGTGTTTGTTGCCTGTTCTATCTCTTAAAACTTGTACGATTCAGCTGAGTCGCTCCGTATCAGCGCGGAAGCCAGAAGGAGCCGACGGACTTGGACTTCTCTTCCGCACCTCTGGGAGACGTCTCAGAGGGTCTGACAGGGGGCCAATCTTTGGCTCCCACTTGTTTCCGGGGTTCGAGTCCCCTGGGGGCCGTAAGCACGAGCCGACCCGGACTTTTTGGGGCTACGCCCCTGTCCGAGGGCTACGTGTCTCTTCTGGGAGATGAGGGATCCGGACCCTCTTCGCAGTCTCCATCTGAAATTTTGTTTTCGGTTTGGCGCCAGAATCGTGTCGCGCGCTGTGTTTGTGTCATTGTCTGTCTATTGTTCATCGGGTTTGTGTTTGGTGTTAGTCTCTCTGAAACCATGAGAGACGTCCCCCAACTTCATCAGTATCTGGAGGTGGTCTAGAACCACCCACCACTCAGGCTTCTGTGGCAGAGGAGCCAGAGCGGGAATCTGAAGGTCTGTTTTTACAGTACCTTACCCAGAAAGGGACTTGGGCCTGGGTGCTCGTCCTGGAGGAATTTCTGTAAGGCCTCACAAAACTTGTTTAAAATGTGTGCCTATGTGTTCATTCGATCTATGAACGCATATGTATAGTGTATCACGTGGTATGTAAAGTGCCTCAGTGCCTCGCCGCCATCTTGACTTTGCCATGTGGGTTGTGGTGTGTGACCTCCATCTTGGTGTGGGTTCAAAAAAAAAAAGAAAACCTTGGTCAAATAATTCTCATTTCCTTCTAGGTTAAAAGGATGAGTTGTTTTGGATTGGTATTGGTTTTAAAAATTACATTGTTTGCACTGGTAAATGCTGGTTTTAAAATCTGGTTTTGACTTTTAAAGACTATGGTTATAACTTGTGACTTCTCTCCTACAAAAGGGGTACTTTATTTTGATATTGCAAAAACAGGTTTTAAAAAATTGTTTAAATGTTTAAGGCTATAAAATATTTAAAGTTTATCAGGCATTTGGGTATGACAATGATCTTGGGTAATCTGACAAAATTTAAAAGTTTCTCGATCCTTTGGGGAAGAATAAAAATACTTTGATATTTATTTTATCAATTTTATTAAATGAAACCCAGCCGTATGATTTGTGCTAATTGAACAAAATTGCAGTTTTTAGAATGTATCTTATGGAGAGCTGTTTGTTTGTTAAGCTGTTTTGTTTATGGAAAAACATGTTACAACCCTTCAAATAAAAAAAAAAAAGGAAGTTTCAACAAGTTCCTTAAAGCTTGTTCTAAGTTCCTTAGAGTTTATGTGACCTTGGACCATCTTGTCTGCTACAGGGAAGTAATTTTAGAGAAAGAATTTGGCAGTTTCAGAACTCCTCTTTGTAGTAATGAAACTTGTTTTTGCTTTGCGTATAAAAAGCAAATTGTGGACGCTGGGCTCCAGCAGGATCATGTTAGGATGGAAAGGATTTTGATGAGAGTTTGTATGTTGTCTAAAAAGCAAGAGAGACAGAGCAAAAAAATAAGAATGTCTGGTTAAGCCAGAAAAAGGAAGCTAGGAACCTGAAGGTATATAGGATGTTGCAAAAGGTTAGTGGATGTATTATAAAAAGCCAGAGAGTTAATATGATTTGAGAAAAAAAAACTGTATTTAAATATGTTATAGTTCATTTAAAAGGCTGGTGATTCCTCATTACAAAATGTTTTCTTATGCTCTTTTAGGGGAAAAAAAATTCTGGCTGATAGGTTTGGTATGGCTAGAATAATTCATACAGTTTAAAATTGTTCTGTACTGTAATGTTATGCAGTTGGTTCTAAAACTTATTTAATCACTAAGTTAAAAATGTTGGTTATGGGGGATTGTAAATGCTCCACAATGTTTGCTGTATCATCATCAGCACCTAATGGCTATGTTTGGTATTGTCAGTCGCAGCCTGTGGTAGCCTAACACGTGACTAGCCGCCATGATCTTCAGGGATAGAGAGCACGTGAAGCTGTATTTTTGCTGCCATATCTGTTTAGGGCTTCCAGCTGAGTTCAGTTACACGTGGTCAGCCGCCATGCTAGTCCAGAGAGAAAGAGGGTGGAGCCATGAGTTTGTGATCATTTCTGTTCAGGTATCTCAGTTATGTTCAGTCATCTGATTAGTGCTAAATGCAAAGCTTTTTACTGTTCAATTTTAATGCAAGTGGTAGGAGCAGCAAGATTTGCTAGGCTCTCTATGAACTGTATCTGATTAAAAGATTTGCTTTGATTTTAGTTCAGAAAGAACAGATTTAAAGTTATACTAACAACTGCAGTTGGTTATACCTAGTGTCTTTGTTTAGTTTTTCTTTTATACAGTTTAAAACAGATAATAAAGATAGACAAAGAGTAACTCAGATATGCTGGCCCTCAGGCTTGTCAGAGATCTGATGAATATGGCATTTTAACTGTGTAAGCTTATTGTGACAGAAAGTCCTAAAATCCTGGCAGTAGCTCCCCAAGGTCTCCGAGAAGATTTGGGCACAACGACAGATGACTGCGACTCTGGATTGTGGTATGCTAACCACTGGGCAATATTGCCTCAACTGGCCCACTGCTAGGGCCCAGCCTAAGCTGTGGACAAAGCCGGGGACATCTGAAGAGCCATTGTCTCACATTGTGAGAGGCAAGGTGAGGTCAATCTCTTCTGTTCCTCTTTCCACAGAAGCAGTAAAAGCAGTCTCTCACCTTCTGTGCCTGGCTGGACAGCCTCTGTTCAGGATGCTGTGAGAGACAGGAGCGAGGGACACTGCCTAGGTGATGGACTAAGTAGTCACCTCTGTCATTTTGATTGACACATGGATTGGTATATTTATTTAGCTTATAATTTATCCTTCTCAGGTCTCTGAACACCTTGATGGCTATGCTAAGCTTACGGTAGCTTTGCAGCTAAAGAGAAGACAATTAGATCCACTGTTAGTTCATTAGCTAGAACTACTAGGTACTAGATCTCTTATTTAGAAAGAAAAACAGGTTTGCCTTGCTCACAGAATTCATGTTAGTTATCTGTGTCTTAAGATATATAGCTAGATTAAAAAAAAAATACGGAGCCTATGTAGAGTCTGAGGATATAGGAGTTTAGGTTGTAAAACTCTAGAGTGTTGTTATTTAGTCTGAGAAAATGTTTCAGGGTTGATAAATGCAAAAAATTGGAGTGTCTAAGTTAATGTTTTAAGGTATATAATTATAAGTTATAATAATATAAAAGTAATTTAAAGCATGTTAAAAATGAGAGATACTTTAGATCTCCCCCCCCCCTCTTTGCTACTATTGTGCTTATGTTATGAGATTTCAGAAGTTCAGAGTTTTGGCATTAATCAATAGAGTTCTGATAAGTTGATGGAGCACTGACTGCTTATTATTCAGTCACCAGGTTGAGATTTTAATTTCCTTTGGTTGGCTTCTGGAGATAGACTTAAAGGTACTTCTCATCATGTTAAAAACATCTGTTTAATGTGTATATCTGACCCAAAGGTCATAGCTTTTAGTATGGTATTCTTAATATCTGCCATTTCTGGGGTAGATTTTGACACAGGAATATCTTAAACCTATTCCTTCTAGTTACTTTATAAAGAAAAATCAAGCATCCAGGGTTTAGCACTAAAGCCAGTAATGTATTTCTGCCTAACTTTCCAGTATGAACATAGAGATGGGGACTAAAAGATGCTGAGTGTATAAAAAAAAAATGGCCAAACTTCATTCGTGGCTAATTACCAACAGCTATGCCCACAAAAAAAAAAAAGAAAGAAAAAAAGAAAATGTTACCGTGGACACACTTAAGTTGTGTATAAAGGATTATAAAACAAACAGCTGATACTTATTCAGTGGGATGCAGTTTTACCTGTTACTCTCAAAATGTTCAATTTGCTGATATGTTACTTTTCTGAGTATTTAAAATTATGTATTTCCTTTTGTGTACTAAATTTCATTTGAGTTTCAGGATTTGACCTGGATCTGGCATAGCTCAAAAGGATCACAGATGAGATTTTCCCTGATCTTTCCAATAGATAAATTTTAACTTCTGTCTCCAGTCTAAATTTGTCTCAGCAGATTTTCACCTGTTTAACTCTGTTCTGGGATCAGCTGTGGACTGCAAGCTGAGATCTGGACTTCCTGGAAGCTGACCTGATTGCTCCCTGCCTCTTCCGGTGGATCAACTAACCAGATGCTTGGGACTGCCCTATTGCCCAGCCTTTGACTGGCATTTCAGCCTCCCTAGCTCCTGATGCCTACGGTCCAACGGTCAGCATCAAAGAAGCTCCAGAAGATGGATCTTTGCCCAAATCGCCCCTAGCAGGCTGAAATGCTAAGTCAAAAGTGGCTCCCTGGCATTAGCTATTATCTTGAGCATCTGCTTAGCTAAAATAAAAACTAATATTGCAGCAACTGGGCTAAAAGCCTAGAGAGACCCTAGAAAAAAAAGGATAATAGCTCTCCTTGGCTTACTACCCCTATATCTACCCTATAGGGACCCAAACCCCGACCAAGAGCCGGGAGAAGCCGCCGCAACCAGACCTCAGGAGGAACCGGCTCCTTCCCCGGTGGCAGGGCGGTTGAGAGGGCGCCGAGAGGCCCCTCCGGATTCCACATCTCAGGCTCTCCCATTACGAGCGGGGCCTGACGGCCAGCTCCAATACTGGCCTTTTTCTGCTTCAGATCTATATAACTAGAAAAACAATAACCCCCCTTTCTCTAGGGACCCTTCTAGACTTACTGCTTTAATTGAGTCCATTTTAGTAACCCACCAGCCCACCTGGGACGATTGTCAGCAGCTGTTACAGGCCCTCCTGACCACCGAGGAGAAGCTACGGGTCATTTTGGAAGCCCGTAAAAACGTTCCGGGGGATAACGGGCAGCCTACTCAGTTGCCAAACGAGACTCACTCCTTTCGAAATCCTGTATGGAGCCCCACCACCGGTCGTTAACTTCTTTGATCCCTGTGTAGCCTCCTTTGCTGACAGCCCCTCTCTAAAAGCTCATTTGCAGGCACTGCAGATTGTCCAGAAAGAAGTCTGAAAACCCATCGCTGCTGCATACCAGGAACAGCTAAACCGACCGGTGGTGCCGCATCCGTTCCAGATTGGAGACACAGTTTGGGTCCGCCGACCTCAAACCAAGAACTTAGAACCCCGCTGGAAAGGACCATATACTGTGTTGCTAACAACCCCGACGGCGCTCAAGGTCAACGGTATCGCAGCGTGGGTATACGCCTCCCATGCCAAGGTGGCTCATCGCGACGCAAAGCAAGATCAGACTCCAGCCTCCTCATGGAAACTCCATCGCACCCAAAATCCACTAAAGATAAGACTGGCTCGGGGGGGGGGCTAATAGGTTTATAAGTAGTCTTGCAGAATGAAAGGGGGCTAGATATCCTCCTCTTACAAGAAGGAGGACTATGTGCAGCTTTAAAGGATAAATGTTGCTTTTATGCTGACCATACTGGATTGGTAAGGGATAATATGGCTAAACTCAGAGAAAGACTCAGACAGAGACAGCAATTCTTTGAGTCAGGACAGAGCTGGTACGAGAGATGGTTTAGTCGGTCCCCCTGGATTACCACCCTGATCTCCTCCATTATGGGTCCCCTAATCATAATTCTCCTGATTCTACTAGTTGGGCCTTGTATCCTAAATCGGCTAGTTCAGTTTATGAAGGACCGGCTCTCCGTCATACAGACGTTAGTGCTAACCCAGCAGTATCATCAACTCAAGCAGCTGGAGACGGAGATTGACTCCCCCTAGACCCGTAGAATGAAGGATTCCATTCTAAGCTAGAAGAAAAATGGGGGAATGAAAGAATAAAGCCCTAGCATAATGCTGGCAACACTATTTTGCAAGACTGGAGCAGTGCAGGGTCAGAGGCAAGGCAGGACAGATGCCCAACAGCAGGATATCTGCGGTTGGGCGCCTGAAACATCTGCCTTCCCGCCTTCTCTGTTCCAGCTACGTGACTCAGCTCACATCCGTCTTCCTGCCTTCTCTGTTCCGGCTACGTGACTCAGTTCACGTCCGTCTTCCCGCCTTCTCTGTTTCGAATATGTGACCTAACTATGGCTTTGTTCAAACCGCCCAATCAGATCCCTGTAACTATGCTTCTCGCTTCTGTAACCGTGCTTCTTGCTCCCGAGCCCTATAAAAACCCGTCACCCCAACCGAGAGGCGCGCAAGTCTTCCGAAAGGCTTTGTCGCCCCGGGTACCCGTGTATCGAAATAAACCTCTTGCGGCTTGCATCCGAAGGCTGGTTTCGCTGTTCCTTGGGAAGCGGGGTCTCCCCGTCTAGAGAGGCTCGACCGGGAGTCTTTCACAAACAAAAAAACAACACAAACAAAGCAAAACAAAACAAAAAACCCAGCAACAACAACAAAGAGAAACCTGCTGTAGATCCTGATTATGTACCCCCAAAACCTTGCCTACCTCACAGATCATAAACATTTAAAATTTTTACTGCACTGTCCATTATTAAAATATAAGAAATGCAAGAATCAATTTGTCTATATTCCTAATATCTAACAAGAAAAGGTTTTTTTTGTGTGTGTGTTTTGTCTTTTTGTTTTGTTCCGATTTTTTGACACAGGGTTTCTCTGTGAAGCCTTGGCTGTCCTGGACCTATAGACCAGGATGTCCTTGAACTCACAGAGATCCGTCTGCCTCTGCCTCCCTGAGTGTTGAGATTACAGGTGTGCACCATTACAGCGACCTAAGAAAATTATTTTTAATTCAGTTTTTGTCCATATACATATTCAGTTTTGATGCTTGTCATAATTATTAGACATAATTATATTCTACCTTTGGATTTACGTTTTAAATATTTTTTTTTCCATTTTGCTAGTCTTTTTCAAGTCCTTGCTTTCCTGCTCTTTCCACCCCCCCTCAGAGCAAGTCCATCAAGTCTGGTATCTCCTCACTTTTTACCCTGTATCTACGAGTTCTAGTCTATGTAAATATCTGATAGCCATTTCTTCTTGAACACTCCGTGTATTTTCCATCAGATTATTCTGGCATTATTTTGCAAGCACTGTGTCTGACTTGGCTGTCAAACTTCACTGTGCATTCCAACACTGGGGAGATTTTAAGCAGCCCCAATGCCCCAAAAAAGGGTTGGTTTTTTTTTTTTTTTTCATCTCCACATTGTAAAATGTTTTCTGACTCCTAAAACCTGAGCCAAGTCTTGGGTAGCCATTTCACATTGAAATTTAAGATTGTTCCCAATGTCCATAGATCATTACGTTAATATAATTGCCTTTTTAAATCTAAAAAAAAAAGTCATAGAGAATATTCACTTACTTGTCCTCCCCTGCGGCAGAGATAAAACCACTAAGAGAAGCTTGCACGCTTGCAGTGGCCTGATGATTTTCCACACCATTGTTAGTGAATGCAGATTAGAGCTCCTGGAGGCGAAGAATGCAGCGAATTCTGTACTTTGATCTGCAATGAGCTTATTAACTTTCTTCCAATCAGGCACTTAAAGTCCCAAGTGAATCATCCCAGCTGTAATGGTTCACTCCTTCTAGGTTTTAATTAAATAAATCTGATTAAATTCTTTTAGTTTTTAACTTTTTATGGCAATGAAAAGAAAACTACAGTGATATAGATAAAGATATCACATGGCCATGAAGAGGAAAAAAATCTTCCCTAGGGAAAAAAAAATTAGGTAAACTCTCACTTTAACAGAAAGATAAGCGAATTCTCCATTCTCAGGTGGTCCTAACTGAGTAAAATCATTTTTTTTGAAAGTCTCTCTGGGGAAAGGGAGGAGGCTGGAGATATGGCTCAGCATTTAGGTGCACTGGATGTTCCTCAAGAGGACCCGGGTTCAATTCCCAGGACCTATATGGCTGCTTACCACCATCTGAAACTCCAGTTCCAGGGGATCCATGGCACCAGGCATGCATCTGGTGCACATACAGATGCAGGCAAGCTACCCATACACATAAAATAAAATGAATACATCTAAAAATAAGAGGAGAAAAGAAAGTCTCACTTGGGTCATATTTGAAAAGCTGCTCTCCAATCAGAGAAGTCTTTCGAAAGAAACTGTTTATCTTATGTTTTGAGGCGTCTTGGCAGCATGTATGTCTGCATTACTTGTGAGCCTGGTACCCAAGGAGGCAGGAAGAAAGCATTGGAGCCACTGGAGCTGGAGTTACTTACGCTTGTTAGCCGCAGTGTAGGGGCTGAGGCTTGAACCAAGATCTTCCGCTTGGTTCAAAGTACTTTTGACCACTAAGCCATCTCTCTAGCTCATCATGAACAGGTCTTGGGATTACTATAGATTCAAAGGTGTTCACTGGTTGCAAACAGGGCCTCTTGTCTTAATATTCCCCTCCCCCCTTGGTCTATCATGTGGACTATCAAGAATGACTTAACAAGGCTCCTTTTCCATTCTCCTGCACATTGCTGCTTCATCCTTCCAAGAGATTCCGGGTCTATCGGGGAAAAGCACGCATGCATACATTGTTTCCCTTAGAGTAAGCTTTACCGTGCCTGAAGTGTGAAAAGTCCTGGGTTTGATACCCAGACCTGCAGAGAGACAGACAGATAGACAGGAAAGAGTACCACTGCGATGACTACTGCTACACAGATAGCGGAAACAAAACTGGAGTGACTTCCAGACACTGTGAGACACTTCACATGTGCTTCTTCAACCACAATGAAGGGGTCTTTTTTTTTTTTTTTTTTTTTTTTTTTGGTCTTTGAGACAGTGTTTCTCCATAGTCCAAGCTGGCTGGCTATACAGAAATTTATGACTCTCCTAGCTCAGGTCCTAATCGCTGGGATTACAAGCGTGTGACACCATGTTCTGCAACAATCAACCTCTTGACACAATGATGCAATTTCTCCAAAGACAGCAAACATTAGGGTCAGGATTCAAACCCCAGATTGCTGAGGCCACGCCTACCCTTCTGCCTACATTGATATTCTTTCCCTTCAAAAGATGCTTTGAGTCTCTTCTGGTCCCTGGCTCCTCCACTGGCCTTAGCAACTTGGTATTTTGTCTCTTGCTATGAATCTTAGCGGTCAAGAGAGCAGGAGCACACCTCTGACTAACTTGGGGCTTTTCTGCTCCTCCCTTTTTCTAGGCTTGTCCTGACAGGAGCCAAGGCGCTTCCCACCAGGCTGGAAAACCTCTGCCAATCTTTTAATAAGATACAATTACTACTAACCTGAAATTCTGTCATTGAAATTTTCTTGCTGAAAAATATTTCTATGACTTTATTGTAAGAGTGATGGCCTTAGGACCGGTGAGATGGCTCAGCAGGCGAAAGTGCTTACCGTGCAATCCCGACACCCTGAGTTCAACCCTCGGCTCCCTAACTCCGAAAAGTTGTCCTCTGACAGCCAACTGTGGCCACCACATGCCCGTGCCCACTCCCAGGCCACGCTAGTCCTAAGTACAATAAAAAGAGTGCTGTTTTCAGAATCCGATCATTAGTGGAGTGTTCCTGGGGCGTCAGTGGGACAGTGCTGCTGTAGCATGCATGAGGCTCTGGGTTCAGTCCGTAGCACTGAATGCGTGAAGGTTTAGAAAAAAAGATGATAAAACAGTAACCTTTCTCAAGTCCAGTATAGGTCCTGAATAAAAACTCAAGAATGGCTAGGCTGTGATGGCACACACCTTTAATCCCAGCACTCGGGAGGCAGATCTCCATGAGTTCGAGGCCAGCCTGGTCTACAGAGCTAGTTCCAGGACAGCAAGGACTATGTAGAGAGACCTTGTCTCAGAAAACCAACCAACCAAACAGAAACCCAAAGAAAACAAACAAACAGACAAAAAAACCCTCAAGATTGTGAGAATAAACCTTACCCCGTGAAGGGGAAGAACTTACGGTTTCTCGCTTTCCAAGACACCACAGATTTAAAATAAACTTCTCTCCAGACCCCACTTTCTATAAAAGACAAGCTTGCCACTCACCTGCTGAGCTCCGAGCAGCTGACTTCCTCAGCTAGCACTTCCTCTGCCCAAGAACCCCGCGTTATTTCCCTGTCATGATCCTTTATAATGCTTGAATTTGAACACTTTATGACAGTAGGGTCAAGTAACTGAGATAAGTTGGGTTCAAAGTCTGTTTCCCTTTCTGGTTTCTTAGAGAAGATGGTAACCGAGAGCGCTCTAAGCCTTTCTGCGCACCTAGGTTACTAGGTGGGGCCGGAGAGCACCAGCCCGGGTGTATCAGCTCCGGGAAGCCTGAACTTGAGCAAAAATCTGTAGCTCATCTCACCCAGCACTGTCACTTTTGACGAGGTGACTGAGCTTGACCACCTGAGAGTTTGAGTGTGACGGAGCAAGTCCAGGGAGAGGTCTGACTTTCACAATAAGTAATATTTGAAGATTTCACATAACTTAATTCCAAAAAAGTTTTACCACCAGTGACCTGAGCCCAGTGCCTAATCTATGCCAAACAAGAGACAGTATTAGCGCCTCGAGGCTGTCGCGTGATTGAAGAACCCTGATGTTTCAAGAATGAGCTAAACTTATTTTATCGATAAAAATACTTAAGCTGGGCTCTAGAAATGGCGCAGTGGGTAAAGCACTTGCTGGGCCAGCACGAAGACCTGAATTCAGATCTCCAGAGCCACACACATGCCGGATGAGGCACTACAATCCCAGAACTCCTAAAGTGAGAAGGGGAAGAGATGCAGGAATCCCCGAATGGCTGCTGGTCAGCCAACTTGATACACAAGAGACCCTGCCTCAAACACAGTGGAAGGTGAAGACCAACACCCACGCTTATCCTCTGACTTCCACACGGACATGGATGCACACACACACACACACACACACACACACACACACACACATTTTGTGGTATTGTTGCTAATGGACATCTTATCTGCCAAGAACTATTGTTCCCATTCGTTAAAAAGTAGAATAGTTATGATTGTCCCTATTTTACCCCCCCCCCTTTTTTTTTTTCTGTTGCCGGAGATCAAACACAGAGTCTTATATATGCTGGGCAAGTGCTGTACCACTGAGATACACCCCTAACCTTCTCCATTTTTTTAATTTTTTATTTTTAGGCAGGGTCACATATAGCCTAAGCTGGCTTTGAATGTACTGCGTAGCCAAGGCTACCTCTGACTCCTGCTCATCCTGCCTCCACTCCCAAGTGTTCGGGTTACAGGTGTATGCCACACACGTGGCTCTTTCCATATGTTTTTAGCACATTGGGTAACCACACCGGAGATCTAGTTCTTACTGGCTGTGTGACTTTGAGGAGACTTCGGTTCTTGATGAACACAATAGGGATAATAACAGTACCCTCCCTGCAGTGTCACCGTGAGGATTAAGTGAAATGGAGCGTCTTAAGCTGCTGTACAGTAGGCTCTTCATAAGCTGTAATTATTACTGTTATAAAGAAAGCCCGGCCTCACACTAGCATTATTCAAATAAGGATCATCTTTAATTAAGAGCAGCTCCTGTCAGCCAACGGCAACAACACTCCTACCCCGAGCAGGCTCAGGCTTTACCTCCCAGCGGATACAAGAGCTGTGTGTTCTACTACTATCATTTGAAAATGACCCTAAGAGGGCTGGAGAGATAGCTCTGCAGCTAGGAGCGCCTGTTGTTCTAGCAGAGGACCCAAGGGGTTCCTAGCACCCATGTCACATAGCTTACAACTGCCTACAAACCAGCTCCACGGGATCCGATGCCCTCTTCTGGCCTCCACGGGTTCCTGCACACACCCACACAGAGACACAAATAACTTAAGAAGGAATTTCACAAAGGCCTAATGAGTTCTGTGCAATACAGCCCACAGTGGGTTCAAGGCAGGGCAAGGAGCGTGAGCAATTCGGCCTCAGTGTTTTTCCATCTTCGGGTTGAGAGCCAACGACTCCTCAACACTTCTAGCAAAGACACACAGGAAGTTGCTCACTCCCTGGAATCTGGTTGTGGGTGGGTGACTCCAATGTAGGCCATGAGGATAACATCAATTTCTATACCTTGATGTTAGACGGTATTAGGAAACAGTGTGGAACAGTGCCCTAATTCTCAATTGATGCCTGCAAACTAAATAAATGGGTTATGTGTCATGGTGACAACTAACTTTCAAATGAGTCAGCAGAAGCAGGGCTGGGGCTCTGGCTCCGTGGCAGAGTGAGTGCTTACCACGTGCAAGGCTTTGGGTGCAATTTCCAGCAATGTGAAAGATAAATCAATATGCAGAATAAACACATAAATGTTAGCTGACGTTTACTGCGTACAGCTAGGAGCAGCATAGATCTTCCCTGTATCAAGCAAGTATTTGCCAAGTGCCTACTGTGTACTAAGAATTTGGAGTTCGAGTTGCACCCAGACCAATTATGCTGACTCTGTCCCGATTTAGGGAAAGGTGTCTGGGTATCTATAGAGAATTGTTGACGTAACTCTGCAAAGCTGCACTGTCTCTAAAACATGGAACTTTCCAGGCTTCACAGCCTTAGGTGGGTCCCCTAGGGTGCTCAGACAGCCAGACA